TGTGAGATTCCTTTTCAGCTGCTCTGGTTTCTGTCAAAATTCCAAAAACATGCAGGATGTTTAACTGGCTTTTGTACAAACTTAGGCTAGTAATGGTTAGTTCTAAAGTTTTGACAACAGTACACCATGAACAAAAACAATATCACCATCATAAAAAGACATTCTAACCTCTCTTGCAGGAAGCACCAGCAAGCTCAGTGGAAGGCCATCCACACAGGTCTATGATACTTCCTGGCAAATGGACTACTTCACACTTTACCAGATAAATAATGTAACATACACTTGAGATTTTATTCACATAGGGACATCATCCATGAAGCCATTCAGATTCACAACACAACTGTCTTGCATATCAAAACATGGAAAGAAAGGACCTGCAACAAAGCTTTTGCCGCCCCTCCTAGATGCCTCTGCAAAACAATGACTTTCCCAAAGATGATGGCTTTATCAACAGATTTGTCCCAAAATAAGAATGACCATTATTGCTCTGATCAGTTTCTCAGCCCCCTTTCATTTAACTATAGGGTAGGTAAAGGGGATGTGTATACATTACTACCCAACAAAGAGCAAGGGGACAGCTTTGGCCAGGAACTATCAAATGCTACTCTACTTATAAAGTCAAGTTTGATTCAAGTCAAAACATCACTCAATCCAAGCTGAAAGTCATTATATACTTTAAAACAGGGGTAAGCAACCTCAGCTGCATTACAACTACAAATCCCACCATGGCTCTAAGAGCTATGGCAGACTTGTGTTGTCTCATTGGACTTGGTTTCATCATGGCTAAAGTACCAAGGTTGCCTACTCCTGGAGCTTGGATTTACGGACCTTTACGCTTAAAAGCAAACCTTAAACTTCTAAAGGAACCAATAACCAGGTGCTTCCATTGACCATAACCGAAAGATACAAAACCTGCTGTTTCTCTAACATTTGGTTCCATCGCTCCCCGTATTTTCTAGATAAATCCACAACAACTCAAACACAATCACCAAATCACAAACTATGCATACGAATGTAGAGACACGTCTCATTCAGACAAACTCAAGAGCCAGTCAAATCCACAAGTATAGGTTCCCAAAAATGACTCATAGGAATAAAGCGTATGTCTAGCTATGATTTTTTTTGTTTTAGACAGTGCCACCAAAGCTTGATCATCTTCAAAAACATACTCAAAGAGGTGCTGGGAACTTTTAGACTTTCAAGTGTAGCCAGTTGAAGGAAACTGTCAAAACAAGCTCAATAGCTCTGGCTAGGTGGCTCCCACACACAAGGCTTCTCTCAATGAGCACCCAAAAGAACGCAAACGAAAGTTTGATAATTTGTCAGTTCTTACAGCTCTGTCCAGGTTCAGAAGATTTTCCCCCCCACTTTTCGTCTTGGCTCAGACATTGACTCAGACCACCATTTGTTTTATTGTGGCATCAGTAAGACGGCCAGGAATTTACTACCGTTTGTGTCTCAATGGTGACATTTGAGACCACTGCTGAGTTCAAATCTCCCAAACAAGGATGCAATCAAAAATAAAAAAAAACGGATATAGGTTCCAAATAAAAAATGAATTTAGGGAAAGAGCTGTTCATTTTCCCCATGCATCCCAACTACAACAGAAGAACACATGGGCTAGCCCAGTCATTACTGCCACTAATTGACAGTTGCTGCATGGGCTCACACACAGAAGATGATCTTGCAGGAACTGTTCATTTGCACAAATTCCAGCTCTGGGACTCAGCTTTTTGATTAAAGTGAACTGTCAGTCTAAACTTTTCCCATTCATAGAACAAGAAAACGGGCAGTGCCAAATCTCACATGCACAGAAGGATCAGCCACCACGTCTGTTTACATGGAAGAAACAAACACCTCTTGAGCTATGTGATGGCAATTCTAACCTTCATTCACATAACAATTTCTAAACAAATTACACAGAGGCAAATCTCTGTTGGCATATCTCACTGATCTGGGGGGGGGGGTCACGGCGCTGCAAGAATCAAGAAGAGACAGCTAGTTCCATAGGAGTTAAAAAGAAACAAGGTGGTGCCAGACAGGACCTAGGAGTAGAGAGGCAGTGGAACAAAGACACTGCTGGATGTATAGAGTTTGTAAAGAATACTAATACATCACCAAAAGGTAAGGGGGAGGACGAAAGTTTCCTCTGGGAGGGTGAATTCCCTACCCTATTTAAGAAAAAAAAACACATAAATAGCAAAAATCCTAAAAAATATGTCAGCAAAATTTACAAGAAAAAAAATCCATGGTACCATCTCTGAGAATGCTTTCCCACCATTCTGGAGCTAGAGAACAAAATCACAGGAGGCCCACTGAGAACACATAAGAAAACCAATTTCAAGCAAATATGATCATGCTTCAGATTTTCAAAGGGTATACACTGAACTTTGTTTAGAACTTGTAATAGGTACAATAGTTCTCCATTTAGAAAAAGCACAAAGATAAAACAACATCAATCGACAGCAGACCCTAACGGACCGTGGTGTTAACAGGACAACAGCAACAGTCTAGGACAGACATTCTCAACCAGGGTTCTATGGAGACTTTGGGGTGCCTTCAAAGGCTGCTAGGACCACAGGCAAGTTTCTCCTGCCTGCAACCACTACCTACAGTGAAGAAAAGTATTTGATCCCCTGCTGACTTTGAATGTTTGCCCACTCACACAGAAATGATCAGTCTAAAAATCGAATGGTAGGTGTATTGTAACACAGACAGAATAGCAACAAAAAAAAATTCAAAAGCAATGCATGTCTAACCAATTATGCACTGATTTGTATGTTCATGAGGGAAATAAGTATTTGATCCCCTATCATTCAGCAGGATTTCTGGCTACCAGGTGTCTTTCATACAGGTAACAAGCTTAGATTAGAAGCAGTCTCTCAAAGGGAGTGCTGCTAATCTCATTTTGTTACCTGTATAAAAGACACCTGTCCACGGAGCAAACAAACAATCAGATTCCAAACTCTCCACCATGTCAAAGACCAAAGAGCTGTCCAAGGATGTCAGGGACAAGATTGTAGACCTACACAAGGCTGGACTGGGCTACCAAACTAGTAGGTGACAACAGTTGGTGCAATCATTCGCAAATGGAAGAAACACAAAACAACTGTCAGTCTCACTAGGTCTGGTGCACCATGCAAGATCTCACCTCGTGGAGTGTCAATGATCATGAGAGCAGTGAGGAATCATCCCCATAACTACACGTGAGGATCTTGTCAATGATCTCCAGGCAGCTGGGACCACAGTCACCAAGAAAACTATTGGCAACACACTACCCGACAAGGATTGAACTCCTGCAGTGCCCTCTGCTCAAGAAGGCACATGTCAAGGCTGGTCTGAAGTTTGCCACTGAACATCTCAATGACGCAGAGGACTGGTTGAAAGTGCTGTGGTCAGACGAGACCAAAATTGAGCTCTTTGGCAGCAACTCAAGTTGCCGTGTTTGGAGGAGGAAGAATACATATGACCGCCAAGAACACCATCCCTACTGTCAAACATGGTGGTGGAAACATTCTGCTTTGAGGGTATTTTTCTGCTAAGGGGACAGGACAACTGCACCACATCAAAAAGGGACAAAGGACGGGGCAATGTACCATCAAATCTTGGGTGAGAACCTTCTTCCCTCAGCCAGGGCATTGAAAAATCAGTCGTGGATGGGCGTTCCAGCATGACAATGACCCAAAACACATGGACAAGGCAACAAAGGAGTGGCTCAAGAAGAAGCACATTAAGGTCCTGGATTGGCCAAGCCAGTTTCCAGACCTTAATCCGATTGAAAATCTGTGGAAGGAGCTGAAAGTTCGAATTGCCAAACGTCAGCCACCAAACCTTAATGACTTGGAGAGGATTTGCCAAGAGGAGTGGGCCAAAATCCCTCCTGTTACAATACACCTACCATTCGATTTTTAGACTGATCATTTCTTTGTGAGTGGGCAAACATTCAAAATCAGCAGGGGATCAAATACTTATTTCCTTCACTGTATGTACGTGGAGGGTGGGGGAGACTGGTCACATCTACACCAACCGCCCATGAAATAGGGTCACTTCTACACCGACCGCATGACTATTAGTTAAACCCCATTCTTTAACTTAAGTCTCTACAACTTACTGATCACACTATCATGTACCATGAGCTACAGGTCTACTAATCTTGAGCAGAGAAATGAAAACCATTTCAAAAGGTAACTTGGGGGGGGGGGGCAGGGGAAGAAACCAGTTGAGAACGCCTTCTCCAAGATCATGGATCCCTACCGTAAACTAAGAGGATGCTTTGACTACCAAGACAGAAGAAAAGATTGGGAATGTGAAGATATAACATTACAACCCAAACAGTCATTGTACAACATAATCATTAATCACAATTACTTCTACTATTCCAGTACCATGCCCACCCTACCACCAGACAGACTCGAGAACAAAAAACCTTCCAAAGAGGGAAACCCAACAATATTTCAACAAATACCACAACATGACATGCAGCACTGAAAAAATAAATGCCGCACACAGTACATCTCTGCTATGCATGGATGTTACCCTGTGTTAACACTTTAGAGACCTGACAAGTTCAGAAAAAATATACATTGTTCTGCCAGAAATGCACTCTGCTCCTAGGTCCCATGCACTGTTTTTGTGGACTGAGTGGTGTCAGCCATGCCCAATGTCTAATGGTAAACCACTCAACCGCTACCAATCTCTGATCTTTAACATAAAAGGTTAACCATTCTGTGACTAGGATAAGAACTAGGAGGCCTCTTTGAGGTGAAACAGGTGGAGTGAACAGGACAGCTTTGATTTTCTGACGTAATTAACAGTCATTTTTTTTGCAATTATCAAACACATAACAAAACAAATTTTCAATGGTAGGTTTTAACAGACCAAATAGATATTTATTGTTGAGGTTTATATACAACATATGAGCACAGTCTTCATCAAGCAGCTGTCAAGCATTTCCATACGATATGAGAAGAATAAAGTAGACTGCACAAGCACTCAATTACCTTCAGCTCTGTACAGCTCACTTCTTTATGGGAAGCAGCCCGTATGATGCCGCTCCTCCATGGCCAGTCCGCTACGTGATCGGTGTCAAGCTCAACGTCGTCCCCCAACACACAGGCAAACTTCTGTCCCACCAGGACATGCATGCTGTCTTGGTGCACAAGCACCATCATGGAGGTTTCTAAAGATGAAACAGAATGAGACACGTTACAGGCTGACCTTACCCAAAACTAAAAGAAAATGCATAAAGAGAATGTTCTTCACTATCAAAAACAAATTACGGGGTGTCTTTGTGAAGCCACTCTACTTTTAAACACCAATGTCTGGTTTACAGCCAGGGTCATACATGCAAATAGCACAAGTCCCCGCCCCTTCACTGCATACCAATGAAAGCACGTGACCAGGAAGCAGGTGGCTACATATTTACACGAAGAGGAAACACATGGCTAGGAAAATAGGAGGTCAGTGCCATCTAGATTCATAAAAGGCAGTTGTGAATAACCTGAGACATCCAACCAGGAACCAGTCCAGCACATGACCAGGTGGTTAGATAAGACAGATGTTATGGGGGGGGGGGGGGGGGATCTGCCACTAAGGAGCCACTCTACATTAGCTACCAATGTCAAGTTTATGGCCAGGATTATACATGCAGTAGCACAGGTTCCCGCATTGTATACCAATGAGATCAAATGACCAAGGAAGCAGGTGGCTTAATGTTCACATCTAGAGGTGACACTTGGTTGGGAAGACAGGGTTCACCTGGACATATCACCCAAGAAACTTAACCCCAGTTGCAGACATGATCAACCTGACACATCCAACCTGGACAGAGGTCCAGATGACCTAGCCAACCAGGACAGTGTCCTACATTAAGAGAAACTAATTATGATGGATGTCTGCCACTGTGAAGCCACTCTACATTAGACACCACCTCCAAGTTCTAAAGCGCAACTCTACATTAGACACCACCTCCAAGTTTGTGGAGCAACTCTACATTAGACACCACCTCCAAGTTTGTGGAGCAACTCTACATAGACACCACCTCCAAGTTTGTGGAGCAACTCTACACTAGACACCACCTCCAAGTTTGTGGAGCAACTCTACACTAGACACCACCTCCAAGTTTGTGGAGCAACTCTACACTAGACACCACCTCCAAGTTTGTGGAGCAACTCTACACTAGACACCACCTCCAAGTTTGTGGAGCAACTCTACACTAGACACCACCTCCAAGTTTGTGGAGCAACTCTACACTAGACACCACCTCCATGTTTGTGGAGCAACTCTACATTAGACACCATCTCCAAGTTTGTGGAGCAACTCTACACTAGACACCACCTCCAAGTTTGTGGAGCAACTCTACACTAGACACCACCTCCAAGTTTGTGGAGCAACTCTACACTAGACACCACCTCCATGTTTGTGGAGCAACTCTACATTAGACACCATCTCCAAGCTTATGGCCAGGGTCATACATGCAATAACGGTAGTCTCTGCCCCTTCACTGCATACCAATGACAGGACGTGGCTAAATATTTACATCCAGAGGTGGCAAGGCTAAAATGATGTGGGGGGGGACACACGTCTGTCTTCTAGATTCATAAAAGGCAGACATGATCAATTTGACCAAGCCAACCAGGTTGGGAGCTAACATATCCAACCAGGACAGGGTCCAGGTGGCTTATATGGTGGGGTCACCCAGACTTTGCAGCCCAGAAAGGCAAGCTCAGTTCCTCCCACATTTACAAAAGGGCAGATATGATCAATCTAACATATCATTCCTTAACAAATGATTGGTATCTGCCATTGCAGAGCCACTCTACATCAGACACCACTGTCAAGTTTACGGCCACGATCATACATGCAGTAGAACAAGTCCCCGCCCCTTCACTGCATAGCAATGACAACACGTGACCAGGAAAGCAGGTGGCTAAATATTTACATCAAGAGGTGACACATGGTCAGAAAATGGTGGTCACCTGTGCTTGTCACCCCAGAAACTCAACCTCAGTTCCTTCTAGATTCATACAAGGCAGATGTGATGAATTTGACACATCCAACCAGGATGGGATCTAACATATCCAACTAGGACAGGGTCCAGCACATCACCAGGGAGAAAAATATTTACATTCAGGGGTGACACATGGTTAGGACAATGGGGGTCACCTGGACTTGTCATCTCAAAGACACAACCCCAGCTTCTTCTAGATTCCTAAAAGGCAGATGTGATCAAACAGACACCTCCAACCAGGATGGGATCTATTTTATCCAACCATGACAGGGTCCAGCACCTGACTAGGTGGCTAAATATTTACATTCAGGGTTGACACATGGGGAAAATGGTGGCCAGGAAAATGGGGGGGGGGGGGGGAGACCTGGACTTTTCAACCTAGAAACGCAATTCCACTTCCTATAGAAAGATGTGATCAATCTGGCGCATTCAACCAAGATTGGGTCCCGGCAACAAGGTCCAACGTATCCATCCAGGATGCGGTTCACAGTGTCTAACCAGGATGGACTCCCAACCATATCCAATCAGGAATGGGATTCAACCAGGATAAGGTCCACACATCCAACCAGGATGGGGCACAGATCTAACTCATCAATGGTGGGCAATGCCAAGGTGACGGCCACTACAAGGGGCTACAGCCCCATATACATGACCACCCATGTCCTGCCTATCAGGTGACCTCCATTTAATCCCTCATACACTAAACCTAGCCTCCACGAGCTATACAATGTTACAATATTGACATTTTGATACATTGTTACTTCGTGGTGGCCAGGTGCCCTTGCATTCCCAGGGCTTTGTATCCTGTAGTGTCCAATCACCGGGAAATGTGACAACACTGCAGGGCACAGCCCGTAGACGTCCGGGAAATAAAGCAGATGATGGTGCAGACTGAAGACTTGGAGGAATGTGCGCCCCGGGCGGTCCTACGGCGATACTCACCGTTTAGAGCCACTTTCTCTTGCAGAGGTTGTCACCTTCTCCAAGACGCAAGCTCTCCCGCCGTGTGTCACCGTCTATTGTGCTCCGCTACAGTCCGCCCGGGAGTCCCTCCTCACCCAGCTCCGGTGCAGCAGGACACTACTATGCAAGCAGGAGGCGGACGAACGCTGCACGCGCACCATACAAACCGCGCCCCTCAACTTGCTATTGGCCACCGCGCTGCGGAAGGCGGGGCGGGGGATACAGCTTTCTTTCCCGATTGGGAAAACGACGCCGTCGATCAAGCTCGAGTTGCTAAGCTACTCATGCAAGGCGCCGCCCCCTACTACCGCCCCCTCTGAAGTTATAAAGCGATTCCCTACAGCGCTGGGGGAATCCAATGACGGCTCCCATAGAAAAAAAAGACTATAAGTGTATCCCTCCGCCGCCTATGGAATGGACGTGGGCACGTCGCTGAGAGAAAATAGTCCGCCGCTGTTATGCTTAGGGTGGTGGTATCACTCCTCATACGCCGAGTACAGCTACTGCGGGCGGGCAATATTCACTTCCATCGCTTATGGCTGTGGCTGACAACGAGCTACCGCATCGCGGAAGGGAAAATAGTCCCGGGCAGCGGATGGAGATCTCGCAGTTCTATGGCTCTGGACTACGTGCAGCTTCGTGCATCCGCAGCGGGGAGAGCAGAGTCAGTTGGTGGGGGTGGGGTAGGAAGGCAGCTGTGGAGATGATAGGAGGGGCCCCCACACGCGCCTATTAGTCACGTCAGACCCAGAACGAGGCTGCGCCCTGTGCCTTCCCTCAGACGGCTGCCATCTTGTTTTCACTCGACGGTGTTGGCGAAGTAGATCAAGATAGGTCGTGTGACGGCGGCGGGGGGCTCAATTTGGACGCCCCGGTGTTGTCCTTGGGCGATGACACATGGGGGCGACCAACGACCCGGCTCTGGGCGCGGCTCCTGCCCTTGGGAAAAAACCATGAAGAGTTCCGGCGGCCATTTTGTGTGGTGGGGTGGACGTGAAATGGAGGATGGGCAGAGCCCCGAGATGGCGGGGAGAGAAGTGTGACGGGAATCCGCCATGACACCCCTCCCTGTCCAATAATACCCATCATTGCCCAATATACACTCTACATGGAGGCTTCACACCGTCTGACAGCCAGGAGACCAACAATGGAGGGACAGTTCACCTAGACATGAGGGAAATGGGAGGAACCAACACAATAGAGATCATCAATGGAGGGACAGTCCACCTAGACATGAGGGAAATGGGAGGAACCAACACAATAGAGACCAACAATGGAGGGACAGTCCACCTAGACATGAGGGAAATGGGAGGAACCAACACAATAGAGACCAACAATGGAGGGACAGTCCACCTAGACATGAGGGAAATGGGAGGAACCAACACAATAGAGATCATCAATGGAGGGACAGTCCACCTAGACATGAGGGAAATGGGAGGAACCAACACAATAGAGACCAACAATGGAGGGACAGTCCACCTAGACATGAGGGAAATGGGAGAAACTATCAACCCAATAGAGACCAACAATGGAGGAACAGTCCACCAGACATGAGGGAAATGGGAGAAACTATCAACCCAATAGAGACCAACAATGGAGGAACAGTCCACCTAGACATGAGGGAAATGGGAGAAACCAACACAATAGAGACCAACAATGGAGGGACAGTCCACCTAGACATGAGGGAAATGGGAAATGAAACCAACAATGGAGGGACAGTCCACCTAGACATGAGGGAAATGGGAGGAACCATCAACAACACAATAGAGAGACCAACAATGGAGGGACAGTCCACCTAGACATGAGGGAAATGGGAGGAACCACAATCAACACAATAGAGACTACACCATAGATAGAGACCAACAATGGAAGGGCAGTTCACCTAGATGTGAGGGAAATGGGAGAAACTATCAACACAATAGAGACCAACAATGGAGGGACGGGTCCACCTAGACATGAGGGAGTGGGAGAAACCAACACAATAGAGACCAACAATGGAGGGACAGTCCACCTAGACATGAAGGGAAATGGGAGAAACCAACACAATAGAGACCACACCATAGATCGAGACCAACAATGGAGAGGAAGTACACCTAGACATGAGGAAAATAGGAGGAACCAATACAATAGAGACCAACAATGGAGGGACATCCACCTAGACATGAGGGAAATGGGAGGAACCAACACAATAGAGACCAACAATGGAGGGACAGTCACCTAGACATGAAGGAAATGGGAGAAACCAACACAATAGAGACCACACCATAGATCGAGACCAACAATGGAGAGGAAGTACACCTAGACATGAGGAAAAAGGAGGAACCAATACAATAGAGACCAACAATGGAGACAGTCCATAGACATGAGGAAAATGGGAGGAACCATCAACACAATAGAGACCACACCATCCATAGAGACCAACAATGAAGGGGCAGTCCACCTAGACATGAGGAAAATAGGAGGAACCAACACAATAGAGACCACACCATAGATAGAGGCCAACAATGGAGGGGCAGTGCAGCTAGACATGAAGAAAATGGGAGGGACTAACACAATCGAGACCACACCATTGATCCAGACCAACAATGGAGGGGCAGTCCACCTAGACATGGGAGGAACCAACACAATAGAGACCAGACCAACAATGGTGGGGTAGTCCAGCTAGACATGAGGAAAATGAGAGGAACTATCACCATACCAACACAATAAAGACCACGCCATAGATAGAGACCAACAATGGAGGAACAGTCCATCCAGACATGGGAATAATAGGAAGAACCATCACCACACCAACACAATAGAGACTGCGCCATAGATAGACACCAACAATGGAGGGACAATCCGCCAAGACATGAGAATAATGGGAGGAGCCAACACAATAGAGACCACACCATAGATGGAGACCAACAACGGAGGGACATATCATCCAGACAGAATAATGGGAGGAACCATCACCAACACAATAGAGACCACACCATAGATAGAGACCAACAATAGAGGGGCAGTCCACCTAGACATGAGGAAAATGGGAGGAACCATCACCACACCAACACAATAGAGACTATGCCATAGATAGAGACCAACAATGGAGGGACAGTCCACCCAGACATGGGAATAATGGGAGGAACCATCACCACACCAACACAATAGAGACCACACTATAGACAGACCAAAAATGGATGGACAGTCTATTCAGATACCAGAATAATGGGAGGAACCAACACCATAGATAGAAGCCACACCATAGATAGAGACCAACAATGGAGGGATAGTCCATCCAAACATGAGAATAATGTGCGGAGCCATCACCACCCCAACACAATAGAGACCACACAATAGATAGACCAAGAAAGAAGGGACAGTCCACCCAGACATGAGAATAATGGGAGGAAACATCACCACACCAACACAATAAAGACTACGCCATAGATAGAGACCAACAATGGAGGAACAGTCCATCCAGACATGAGAATAATGGGAGGAACCATCACCACACCAACACCATTGAGACCGCGCCATGGATAGAGACCAACAATGGAGGGACAGTCCATCCAGACATGAGAATAATGGAAGGAACCACCACCACCCCTACACAATAGAGACCACACCATAGATGGAGACCAACAGTGGAGGGACAGATCATCCAGACATGAGAACAATGGGAGGAACCATCACACCAACACATTAGAGACCACACCATAGATAGAGACCAACAATGGAGGGACAGTTCACCTAGACATTAGACTAATGGGAGGAACTAACACCATAGAGACCACATCATAGAGACCAACAATGGACATGAGAATAATGGGAGGAACCATCACCACACACAACACAATAGAGACCAACAATGGAGGGACAGTCCATCCAGACATGAGAATAATGGGAGGAACCATCACTACACCAACACTGTAGAGACTACACCTAAATAAGAGACCAACAATGGAGAGAAAGTCCATCCAGACAGGACAATAATGGGAGGAACCATCACCACATCTACATCATGTACAGAGACAACACCATCTACACTATGGATAGAGACAAACACCATATGAGAGAGCCATGGGACCAACAATGGAGGGACAATCCATGCAGATATGGGGATAATGATAGCAACCATCACCACATATACACCATAGATAGAGACCACACCGTGTCACATGGCAGGTTTTGCTCAACAATCTTTATATACAAATTACATTTTAATTCATAGATTCATCTCCATTGGGTTGGTGGAATAGAACTCTCATCCTATGATGATGTTTAAATAGAAATCCTATTCTATCAACTCTTTTAGAGTATATATACACAGATGTATAGGTTCTATAGAGTTCAGAATTATAAGAATATTTAATATATATATAAAATAATATATTTAAAGGGTTGTCGGAATGGGATTTACATCCAATTATAACATATATATTATCATTCTTGTATGAAAGATACACCTAAATTAGTCAATAATGATAATACTTGATTGGTAATGCCTTTCTATCAACTCTACAGAGCTGTTTATAATGTTAATATTTTATAGCTTCTATCTGTAGAGTTGGTAGAATGGGGTTCCCTTCCAATTCAAGAATGTTTAAATATAAATATTATTATATTTTATAGGGTTTCATTTACACTCCTAATTTGGATGTATCTTTTTATTTCATATATATATATATATATATTTTTTTTTTTAATAGGTGCTTTAGGGTAAATGGAAAAGAGTCCCCATCCAATTATTTTCGTTTGCCAAGTCATTTAGATGTACCTTTTATTCAAGAATGTCTTGCACATAATGTTCAGAATCATTCACTATCTTTTTTCAATAAAAAATCATAAAATTAAATGTAGATGCAGCTTCCTTACATAAAAGACATCACATACCTCACATGGACAATATATTCATAAAAACAACACATACTGTACATGTGTGTCCCATTGAATTCAATAATATTTTATATATTTCTGAAATCTTGATATTTTTATAAACCCTGTTGAGTTGATGGAATGGGGTTCCTAGTCAATTTGTTTCATTTGTAGATTAATTTATATGGACCTTTTATTTAATAAACAATTAATGTTAGAATATGTTCTATACACTTGTTATAATGACCACAATAACCTATGAACTCTAGGGAACATCTACAAACTATTAAAATAAAATATATATATGTACAATTTTTTTTTATGTTCAATAGACACGATTGAATGGAGTTAAATGTGTTCCCATCCAATTCAAGAATGTTTTATAAATACATACAGTATATATAATTTTTCTTATAAAATTTCAATTTTTTTTAAAAGCTCTATAAAGTTAATGGAATGGGATTCCCATTCAATTATTTTCATTTGTAGATTAATTTAGATGTGTATATATATCAAGTTAATGTAAGTATGTGTTCTGAAGATTTGATAAAATGGAGTTGGCAAGGAATTTTCTTAATTTGCAGGAATTTCTTCTCACTTCCTGTTTGGCTATGGGACAGGAAGTGAGGGGGAGTCTTCCCGTGGGGACACAGTTGGCGACAGAAAACCGGACAGGTTATAACCCTCCCTTGCTCCATCCAAAATGAGAAAAAATCATCTTGCCTATAATTCTTCTTTAACATAATTTTATATTCAGAGAGAGACAGAGAGAGAATCCCTGAGCACATTAGATTAATAAAGTGCACACTGTAAAGGATACCCAAGCAAGTAAACATGAAGGTCAGGACAAAAGGTATTTGAAAGAGCATGAATAATCCATGGCATTATTTATTGATGTTGCTGTGGTTCAGCACAATGATAAAGGTATGCTGTGACCAAGGGTGGACTGACCATTTGGAAACTCGGGCACTGCCAGGGGTCAGTAGGGGGCCCCATGAGATGTCCCTGGTACCTTTTTCATAGGCTTTTTTGAGTTTGGGCAAGGACACAGGGGCCCCATGATCCCCTATTGCCCGGGGACCCCATGAGTTGTCAGTCCACCCCTGGCTGTGTCCCACAGAAACATTAGCAGCTAAACCCCATTGTTGGCCTTTGGCACCTTTGGGAACCCGACATTGACAGGTACCCGCTCCCACTTTCGCTGCGGTCGCCCTCCCCATTGTATTTGTATACAGAAAAGCCAGGATAAAGGAAGATAGTTTTAAAAATGCGATTGTATGTTTAACCTTTCAGTTTTCCTAATTCTTCCTTTTTTCTTTCTCATCTCAGAAAGTTGGGAGGTGTGAAGATATATGTAACTATGACACACCTTACTGAACACATATAGACAACACTTCATTCAGGTAAGGTTTGATAACTTCTAGATTGTTGAAGGGATTTGTTGGTATACGCCCTATTCCCGTTACAGTTACTAGTTACTATGCTATAGTCTTACACAATGAGGCTGATTTACGAAAACTGGAGAATGCAAAATCTGGTACATCTCTGCATAAAAAACCAATCAAGTTCCAGTTTTTTAGTCAAAACTTCATTGAACAAGCTGAAGTTAGAAGCTGATTGGCTACAATGCAAAACTGCACCAGATTTTGCACTACCTAGTTTTAGTAAATCAGCCCCACAGTCTTTTTTTATTAGGAAACTCTGAAACAGGGGCGATAGGGGATCATGGGGCCCCTGTGTCCTTGCCCAAACTCAAAAAAGCCTATGAAAAAGGTACCAGGGGCATCTCATGGGGCCCCCTACTGACCCCGGGCCCTCGGGCAGTGCCCGAGTTTCCAAATGGTCAGTCCTCCCCTGCTCTGAAGTTCATAATTGTAAATATTTTACATGACATATCTTGTAATGTTAATCAATGTATAAATTTTCAGATGTTTTATGTATCTCAGTTGATGATTTGATGGGGGATTGGTCACATATGATTTCAGTGCCAACTTTAAAAATGTGCCGTGGACTTTGTTAAAATACATTGTGCTAATAATAATAAAGAAAGTATCGAAATGTAATAGTTTTATGTTTTAGATTAATTCTAAACAAAAGAGAAGACAATTTCAAATAATTAGCATTCAGTAATAAATTCGGGTAAGCCTTGTTCTTTAGTTTGTACCAGGGCTTTTTTTAGCGGGAATGCGTGGGGAACGCAGTATTGGCACCTCCAGCACTGGATGTATGTAATGGCAAAGGTTGCTGAGGTGTGCTGGAAGGTCCGTTGATGCTGGCTGCTAGGGGAACTATTGTTGCTGGAGGAAATATTTTTTTTAGTGGGGGGGGGGGGGGGGCGCTAATGTTTCTGGGGGGGTCATTTGGGAGGAATCTACTGTTGAGGGAGGTGTCTATTATTGCAGGCTGCTGGAGGGTTTAGAGATCTGTTGTTGGTGCCAGGGGTCTATTGTTGCTGGCTACAGGGGATCTATTTTACAGCTTTTTTTGTTATCATTAAAGGGTTACTAAACCCACAACGGTAAGATCAGTCTGTATATGCAGTAAAGCATGCTTGTTATACTCACTGTGGAACCTAAGGGGTTAATCCTCTGAAGTGTGTAAAAAGGCCCTTTGATCTTTTCTTCTCTGTTCCTCCCCTTTTTCAAGTGACCACCTCTTATTTCCTGATAAGACATACTGAACCGTAGGCATTTTGCACATGCTCAGTATAGTGCGTATTGCTAGAGAGGTTTTTTTTTTTTTTTTTTTTTTTTAGGAGAGTGCATGTGATCAGCACATGGCCAATCAGCACTGTCCAGACAGAGGGTCAGGGGTTTTGCATTCTACTAGAGCAGAAAGAAGACTCCTCCTACACGCTTTAACTAGTGCTCAGCTGAACACTGATAGAAGTCACAAGACTGCTCTAACTTCTGAAGAGAAAAGGTATTTAGTCGTTTATAGTTACTAAAATATTTACATTTCTATGTTGTGTGTACTATGGGAGACCAGATCTAGTGGATGCAGGGTCCTGGGTTTGGTAACACTTTTAACAAATTCCAAATTGCTTAGTACAACAATATGATACTTGGTTCTGTATTCTCTAAAGTGGGCAGGTAGGTAGGAGGTGTAACCAAGGCATGCTGCTCAGAGGTGGATAGGGAGCAGATATAAGAGTGACTCAGAAGAGGGGAGAGTTCCTGCACCCATTCTCTGAGAAAAAAAAAGCCCTGGTTTGTACAGTATATTTGGAGTTTAACCTCCCTGGCGGTCTGATTATGTCCATATTTCTGTGCTCAAAGCGGTAAATTTTTTTGCATGGAAATATGTAGTTTTTTTTATTGTAGCCTGTAATTTTTAGGAATAACTCGCTGAAATCTGTCCGAACAAGAGTCTAGTAAACATCCCGGGTATGATAAAATTTGAAACATGAAATCATAAATTATAATTTAATAAATAATCATAAAAAATAATAATATAATAATAATAAATTTAATTCAATAATATAATCAAACCAAAAACACTGAAATTTGAAATATAGCGCCAAGTTTGCACATCACTGAGCAAAGTCGCAAAATCGTTTTCAGTGTCCGATGACGATTCTCCCCACGAATCATTATCACTCAATTCTGCAAGTGGTTCTAATTTACTATCGCTGTTCTCTAGCCGGTCTAAAAAACCGATTTTGACCTAAAGGGACGCTTTTTGGACGCCACGGACGTTTCTCAGTTTCCAGGCAGAAAGAACGGTACAAATGCAGGCAGGGCGCAGGACAAAGCACTCGGGACAAAATGTATGTGAAATGGTTTGATACAGGAATGTTTTACTATGTGATTTTAGTGTATTGAGTGAAAGTCACTTTTGGTCATTTTCAAATTTCCCGCCGTTCCGTCCCCCGTACGTCCCGAAGCTTGCAGGGGACGGAACATAGATGACAGATGCCGGCATCCGCCGGATTACATTGCCGGGGACACTGCTGGAGGGACATTGCGGGAGCGCAGGACAAGGTAAGTGAAGAACAGATGCCGGAGCAGCGCTGCATGGTAAGCCCGAGTGTAGCTCGAGGTTACCGCTTTTGGTACTTAAACTTTACCCCGAGCTACACTCGGGAATACCTCCAGGGAGGCTACGAGATACCCTTTATTGGCGAACTTAAATTATTAAATATGCAAGCTTTCAGGATGCCAATAAAGGGTTTCACTCCAAAAATTCTGAATTAATCGATATCTAATACAGTACAATACTGTACCACTTCAATAATTTATGATTTCAGTGACAAGTGTAACATGGATTACATTTTTAGGGATTTGTTTTAAGCATGGAAATTGTTTCATG